GATGGCTCTTGGGGCCTCTCTACAGTGAGAACCACATTGTGAGAAAGTGATTACTACTCAAATTCTTTTTAATCAGATAATCCATGTGATTATGTCAAGGAAGTCATCACATATAAATCTATACATCTTCAACATTCTCTAACACTTGTTCAGATTTTCTTTTACAAAGAAGGAGGATGCTCTAGTCTCAGAGCCTTCAACAAACAATATGTATCTATCTAGAGTGAAATAGAAATATAGGGGTTTTTCTGTTTTTTGTTTTTTTGGTTTTTTTGTTTCTTTTTTCTTGAAAGATTTTTGCTATAGGGCATATGTGCATATGTGCTCACCAGAGAGACAGAGCAAGATGGAGAGAGAAAAAGTGAGAAATCACCTCCCAGGGAGCTGGCTACACCACCATCCCTTTTCCTCCATTATTCTCCTCTCAGGATTTGAGCATGCTGGCATACATACCCAGTGTGAGTTTCAAGCTGCTGGGTCTGGGATTTGAACCACAGCTGGCCATGTAGGAGTCAGTGCCTTAATCACTGTACTACCTGCTGACCCTTAGATATTTCTGTTATAGGATACTTGTTGGAGAGACAGAGACAGAAAGCAAAAAATCACCCCTCAGGGAAGATGGCCACGCCACAGTCCCTTCTCCTCCCTTTTCCTCTTGGGAGCTTGGACACACACACACACACACACACACACACACACACACACATACACACACATACACACACACATGGGCCTGGTGTCAGTTTTAAGCCACTGGGTCTGGGACTCGAACTGTGGTTAACTGTGTGGGAGTCCAGTAATGTAACCATCATGTCATCTGCTGGTCTCAATATATTTACTTTTCTGATTATCTTCTCATTAGTAAGACAGGTGCTGCTGGTTTCCCTTTTTCAAATTTTAAATTTTTTTGGAGAGATTTTTGCTATAGGGAATGCATGTGTGCTCTTCAGAGAGACACGAGATGGAAAGTGAGAAATCACTTCCTAGGGTGGATGTCCACACTGCAATCCCTTCTCCTCCATTCTCCTCTCAGGATTTTGGGCATGCGTGCACATGCTCTGGGCATAAGTTTTAAGTTGCTGGGTCCAGGATTCAAACCATGGTCAACTATGTGAGAGTCCAGCAATGTTACCATTATGCCATCTTCTGGTCCCTGGTTTTTCCTTTTTAAAATGAATTCATATTTTAAAAAGTGCACAAATTTGAAGAAAAATATAAAATATCATATAGCTTAAATTAATATGGTAAGAATTATAAGGAGGCGATACTTGGGAAACTCTTAACTAGGGGATCTGCTTATTTAAAGAGACCTTGAAGTGAATCCTTACGTGACATGAGGCACAAAACTTGGAGAAGCACAGAATTGTCTCTCAGTTTATCTGGTGTTTGAATTATTGTTTAAGTAATATGAATTTCTTAAAAGAAGGCAGTCTTCCGTTGCATTTAATTTTTGCAATACTTATTTTTCAAGTTTCTTCTTGATTTACTGATTTGACAAATAATTATTAAAAGATATTAGGTGGGTTATGGAGATACAGTGGTGAACTAAACAGCATTCTCTGCATTTGTGACACTTTCTTAAATTTTTTCTCCCTCCTTTTTAGAAGGGTACATGAGAAACAGGGTCTCTGTGACCCCCTCCCCGCCCCTCCTGCATAAAACAAAATGATGTTAAAGGCAAGGCAGAGCTAAATGCCTTTAAAAAAATTATTTTAATAGGCCACCTTGGTAGTGTAGTGGTAATGCTCTGCTCAAGCCATACTGAATCCATATGGAAGATCATGGACTTGGTTCCCTGGTCGACCAGTAGATGCTGAGCATATGGGCCTATGATCCTGGTTGGCTACAAAGGCAGTGGTGGGAGAGTTCCCAGCATGAGGATACTTCTTTCAGTCTTCCTCTTTCTTTTTTTCTCTCTCTTCAAAGAAAGAAGTAAACTTAAAAAAAATCTTTTTAACAGATTCAGAAGGGTAAATATTTTATTTTCATCATTCTTTTAGAGCCATCTGGATGTGTACTTTATCTTCTATTTGACATATTTTGCATAAGTAATATGTGCCCATAGACACAGTGATAAAATACATGGCGTTTTATGTTTCTTGCAACTTTTAAGTCCATGAGGTAGGGTGTCACGGACAGGGAACAGGATACCCATTCATGCCCAGCTCTCTCTGAAAGTAGACATCATTTAGATAAGAGAGCACAAATCAACAGCATATTGAATTCTGTTCAACCTGTTGGTGTTTTTTGTTTGGCCGACAAGGTACTTAATTTTTTTTTTAAATGAGTTTCTAATATGTATAAAGTCAGGAGCTTTCACATTAAAAAATAAAACAAAACCCCCCATTTTTTTTTTTGGTGTTCATTTTGAAAATTTGTGGATCTAGCCCCACTGAGCCAGTTTTTCTGAATGGCAGAGTTGGCCACAGCTGAATAGTGGCTGCATTTTTAGACAGAGCATGTGCTGTCTTTGAGCAGCCTCTGCTTAACTCATTCAGATTATCCTCCTGGCCTTAGCACATATTTGAATTTGTAGCCCCTGGATCCTGGATTTCATGCACTGGAATTTACCTGTGGAATTTACCTGTGAAATACCTGTGGAATTTCAGCATTCCTCCTTGTTCTGGAGGGCAGAAAATATTGTTTTTATGAAAGCTGTTTGAATATTCAACTGAGTATATCTATCTCCCAATAAAACAGGTGTAATACTGAACATAGGCGACAGAGACTAGAGTTCCTTTTCCTAGTGAATGCTAGTCTGATTATCTCAGATCCTTCACGATGGAGATACTGTTAAGTTGTCAGAAAGGTCATGACGTATTTTTCTGTTTTTCTATGCATAAAAGCATCATGACTTTCCTGACAACTCAGTACTTTCTATCGCGCCTTATTTGTTTGTATCACTGAGCATTTTCGGTAATAAGTACCAGAACAGGTTCTGATGAATTTAAACAAAATGGGATTTTATTGGAACAATATTGGAGAGCCAGCCCCATATCACATTGGTTAAGCACTGTGTAGAGAGAGCCATATCCCACAGTGACAACCGGGGTTTGAATCCCAGCCCTAGCTGCTTAAAAAATACGCTGAATATGTGCTCACATGCCCAAGATCCTGACAGGATGGAGAAATGGAAGAAAAGCAGATTGTGGCATGACCAGATCCCACTGCGAGATGTTCTCTCTTTATCTGTCTCTGGTCCACAAACATAAGCCCTCTGGCCAAGAAAAAGAAAGGAAATGAAAGGATACTGATAACTCAAACTATCAAAAAGAGAATGATCTGGACTCAGAAAATTCAGGAAATCAGGGTCACTCTGAGGACCATGGGTGATTGATACTAAGGAAATTGATAAATTGCCTCTACATTTTCCCACTTTCTTTGTCTTTTTTTTGTTGTTTGTTTGTTTTTAGAGAGATTTTTGCCTTAGGGTACATGTGCTCACTTAAGAGACAGAGAGATAAAAAGAGACAGAAAGTGAGAAATCACCCTCCCCCCCCCCCCCAGAGGTGATACATCAGTCCCTTCTCCTCCATTTTCCTCTCAGAATTTTGAGCATGTACACACTTATGCCTGGCATGAGTTTTAAGCTCCTGGGTCTGGGACTCGAACCGCGGTCAACTCCATGGGAGTCCAGCAACATAACCAATATGCCATTAACTGGTCCACATCATTCCTCTTAGGGACCTAAAGTTATGGAAAAGAGAATCCCATTGGCCTTATTCATTTCCTTGTTAGGAGATGTCAAGACATCTTGGTTGACATTCCCTCCAGACAACATACAATAGAAGAAAAGACTTTCACAAGTGATCTGGTCGCTGCTGCCAAGCAAATGCAAACTGGATAGGGATGTAGGCTACAGAAACAAGTGTTCATTGCACCTCTTTTGAAGTTGTTGTGAAAGTATTAAATATGCACTGTAAAATGCTATTGAGAAGTGAAGAAATAGTTCAGATTACATGAGAGCCATATTATGAGTGTGCTCTGTAAGTAAACAAATGTATTGGCATCCATTTGAAAAGAAATATATTGAGTGATTAGAACACAGAAGTGACAAGTTCATTCTTTTTAGCAATTGCCTTGGTTAAAAAGTCTCCAGAGAAGTTGTACTAACTTTTAAAAAGGTTTTAATGATTTCTTTTACAAAGAGAATAAGACAAGCTCCTTCAACAAGATTTCATGCCTTAGTCTTACCTCATCCCCAAACCTTATCAGCCAGTTAGGATCACGAATGCATGCCTGGCATGTATAGCCTGCCAGGGAATCGAACCCATGATCTTCCATGCGGATCAAGCTGTACTTGAACAGCCTGTTACCACTCTGCCCATTGAGAAGGCCCAGAAGCCACAGTTGACTTTAAATTCAAAATATTTATAAAATCTAAAGATGTTCATTAAGATATAATGGTCTTTCTGATTTTTTGTGCTCTCATTTATTTCTTTGCAATTTCGTGATTTGCAACTAGCAAGGAAAATAAGTGACTCTCTCCCCTCAGAAATAAATAAATTAAAAAGAGAAGTGCTGGCATGGGTAGAAATTGAAAGTAATGATTCAAATAAGAGAGGCAGTGCAGAAAGCCTCAGCTGGGCGACAGGAAACTGAGAGAGCGAAAGTCAGAGACTGCTCTATTTTAAAAAGGCAAAACAAACAACTCACAGTGAAGGGTACGTGAAAATCATTTCTAATAATAGCTCATGGTAGGCAATTCCCGGGAAAAGAATTGTTGGTGTGCTGAGAAAATTAGAGTGGGAATGCACAGGATCTTGATGTGTTACTTAAGGCAATGGAGCTGTAGAGTTTACCTTATGTGCCATGTACATTGATTAAATACAAAATATATGCTGGCCATTTTTGACCATCATTTACTGTATTGATTTGTTAGCAGGGAAACTGTAATAAAAAAGCCATTGATTTACTGTCCTTATTTGCTTATGGGCTTTTTTTTTATTATTAATTTTTCACTTTTTCTCTCTTTTTTTTTTTTGGATCATTTCTTCTAGACAAATGCCGTGCTTCACGAGGTTAAAAGAGAGGGGCTCCCTGTGGAACAAAGGAATGAAATCTTGACTGCCATCCTTGCTTTGCTCACCACACGCCAGAACCTGCGGAGGGAATGGCACGCCAGGTTAGTTCTGTTATGAGATGGGATTTGTTGTCCCTGACAAACAAGAGCTATATTTGGCTAAGTCCTTCCTTATGTCTGGTCTCATCCTTCTCATCTGAGGGGCCATGAAAAATAAGCAAGTTTAAGATGCTTTCTGCTAAAGTTAGATTTCCTGCCCATGGTACCTCCATTCATTATAATGATCCATGACGTTGTCTGTTTGTGTATATGATTTATTCCTGAGTAGAGCATTTAGCATAACAGTCTGCATCTTGAGCATAATGTAATATACATACCTGATGCTGAAGAGCCCTTTTTAATCAGCAGTCTAAAAAACTAACATTGCTACTTAGAGCAGATGTCGAGAAAATCCACATAATGTTCTTTTATTACTGAGTGCGGTGCAGATTGCTTCAAAGTAGTCTATTTATCAACTCCGTTTTTAGAATTGACCAGCCAACTAGGAATTACTTTTGCTTCAACCTAGTTTCATTCCACACGGAGTTACCTGTGGTTAGAAAGCTGTTACTGGTAGAAAGTTTCTATAAATCATCCGTTTTTACAGAATTGATGCCTGCATAGTAAACACCCTGTTATCCTTCTCTTTTTTTTTCAAAAACAACCAATATGCTGAAACAAGTTCCCCCAATGTTAGAGTTACCCTTTAGATCTGTAATTTGTTAAAATTGTTGAATGATCATCTATCCCTGAGCAAAAAGGAGAGGAATCAAGTTATATTGTAATTTTGTCTCAGAGTCTTATTTGATGCTTAAAAATTCTGTGTGCCTGAGAGTCCAGAACATTTATGGATAGGCCTAATATTCTTTAAATGATCCCATGCAACTGAATTTATAATAAATGATAGTTTTACCAATAATAATTATAATAAAATGGATTTGTCTGAACAAGACTGAAGATAAATATTTTCCCAAAAAGGACAGTATGAACTCGTCATTGTAATTAGTATCAGAAAGCTATCTTTTCCAATATGTGTGTTATTTCTAAATCCAGAATTGCATTTAAACAATAATCTGAAAATTTCCAGTAATCTCTACCATCCACACTTTATGGTAGTATAGTCAGGAAAAATAATAGTTTCTCCTAAGGTAATACATTAAGTGATTTCCCATTTAATTTTCAATGATTTAAAAATCTGTGTTTGTATTACAATTTGAATATGTATATTTATTTAAGTATGCATAAGTGGTTAGATAATGGAATATCAATGTGGAAACTTCCAAGAGGTTTTTCTTTCCTCTCTGTTTGACATTTTATATCTTCCCCATGGTGATTCTTATTAAATAGGAAAGGGAGGTAGAAAGAATTCCCCTGAAAGCTCTCTCCCACCCCTCTTCCCAAAGACAGCATGATCCCAGAGGGAGAGCAAATGTTGAAAATGGATGTCTTTTGTTGAGTGTTTTTGGTTTGTTAACCATAATTTCCTAATACACCAAATCATCAGACAACATGGCCAAAGAGGCCTGTTTAAAAGGAGTCTGGTTTCAGCATTTCTGGCCTTTACTGCTAACAATTTAATCAGGAGCTGGAGCCAGTGTTGAAGTTGATGTAGTCTAGCATCTGAAACAAAAATTCTCAAGCCCTTTGTGGCGGGGGGGGGGGGGGGGGGGGGTTTTTTACTTTTACTCTCTCTGTCAAGCATTCATAACCTCTGACAAAAACAAACAAACATCCTAATACACCAAATCATCAGACAACATGGCCAAAGAGGCCTGTTTAAAAGGAGTCTGGTTTCAGCATTTCTGGCCTTTACTGCTAACAATTTAATCAGGAGCTGGAGCCAGTGTTGAAGTTGATGTAGTCTAGCATCTGAAACAAAAATTCTCAAGCCCTTTGTGGCGGGAGGGGGGGGGCGGGAGGAAAGAAAGAACTTAGCAGCTGACACTGTGCAGACCCCCTTAAAACTAAACACCTGAAAGAAAATTTCAAGAGGGTGGTATCTTGAGAGCTAGAAGGAAAAGTGTCCTCAGAGTATTAAATAACCATAATCCTTTCCCCCCACCCCTTTTCTACCCCCATTTGATGTTTCCCATCTCGGCGACCCATCTAAAAGACTCATCCATATGATCCGTATAAACAGACGGTTACCATCCACCTTTCTTTTCCTCATCAAAGCGTCATCTGGCCGTCTGGAATCGGGCTTGGCCTCGGGTAGCCATCAAGCATGTGGTGGTGAAAGTTATAAAACATCCACTGTGGTGCTTACTGAGCCGCCTGTGTTTTAGAGATTGGCCTATTGTGTACCTTGGAATTACACGAGGAAAAATGTGCTTTGACAGAAAATAATTAGCACTCACCAAAGGCCAGGCAATAGGTTACAGTATTTTCCTTTCATCAAAGCTATCAGGGGATCAGTTAGATTAGATAATAGAAATTTTTTCCTCTGAAAGTTAAATACAGATGACTCTAATTACCTTATATTGCACATTAGAGAATGCATTATGAATTGTACCACTTCAAGAAATTTAGGTCAACTGAGACTCCACAGCTGGCAGTAAGTTTAGTAGAAGTCTGTTGTAATAAAGGTTTTGACCCACCTTTTCAATAGGTTCATTTGCGCTCATGATATTAAGGAGACTACTTTAAGTGCAACTTGTAATTTGGTTATAAAATATTTGTCTCGCTCTCAGGCCAGGAGCCAAGCCATTGTTTGGGACTCACCAAAGTCTCTTAAACTGAAAGCATATGTTCCCTGTAATTTAGCGTTTTGAGGGAAGTGTCAATTCTGCATGACTCGGGGTAACCGAGTTTGTCACAGTGTCACACAACCCTGCGCTTCTAGAGGCACATCTGAGTGCTGTGGGTTTCCTTCCCCAAGCTCGGTAATCCCATAAACAACCCTCTCCAAATAGGCTTATTAGGGCTGTCTATTCACTTCCCAAGAGTTGAATGATCCAAAGTATACCAGGAGAAGCTGTGTGAATGCAGGGTAAGTGTTAACAGAAGTGGTACAGAATTTCTGAAGATTTGGCTTTGTTTATACAGTCCACTCGGTCTGATGGACAGCTTGTTATAGCTTTTAAAGAACTAGGCAAGCCCTCTGATCTGACCCCTTCTTGACCTCCACAGCCCAAAGGTCAGTCTGTAGCTAATAAACTCGGAGGTTCTTAGGGTCTACTGTAGGAAAAGGCAGAAAAAGAGCAGCTGCAAGGACTGGGTGTCCCAGGATAGGCTGCTTTAGGGTCACTCTCTGATAATGAAAATGATTACCAAATTATATGGAAGTTTAACCGCAATAGTGAGTGAGAGGAGGGTGGAGCCCAGCGTATTAGGTTTGATAAATGAACTGTGAAGAGGCCCATCTGGCTCTCAACATCTTTTCTCCCCCTCTTTACCTACCAAGTGGAAGGGGAAACATTTTAAAATAACAGCAGTACATATAGACTCAATGACCCATGCAAGGAGCTGGAATGGATTAAGATTTAATGGTGACAGTGGAAGAAATTATCATTTGAAAAGTCCACCAAAGAAAAGGTACAGTTGAATGTCCATGCCCGAGTTGTTTTTCTAAATAAAATCGAATAAAAATCAGTGCCTTTGTTTATTTTATACAAATCCCCAGTGTCTTTCTTAGATTGCTGAAAATTTTGAGGGCGTTGTTTATTATGGAATAATTATTCGCAGTCAGCTTCAGGAAAGGAATGGGCTTCCTTTGCCTTGAACATGTCAGAACGAGGGGCAAACATTTTATTTCTGCCTACTTGCTCATTTTCAATAATGTAGGTAAATCAAGGATTAAAGAAAACAGTTTTCAAAAACATTGATGTTTATTTTAGCATCCAACCACTGACCGTTATGCATTCTTGGTTCTAACGTACTTAGGACTCCTGAACATTGTTTTATTTCTACTCACATTTGGCAGTTTCTCTGTAAAAGTAAGAAAGCACATGATGGTAATTGAGTAGATATGTTTGCTCCTTTCTTTATTCCTTTTTCAAAGAAACATCAGAGCAATGCTAATTAGTGCCGACAATAGATAGGTCACTCTAAGCCATATGTCCACTTTCTGTTAATTGATAATTTAATCTGTTTAAAGCTGTCCCCTAGTTTCCCATGAACCTGAAGAGTCCCTGGTTTCAGACCAGTGACATTGGAGACCACGAAGCTCTGTATGTTTTTTTGCAGGAACATTTGGCACATGCCATGAGCCTACTTTCTGAAACTAGAGGGATTCTATTCAGAAAGCATCTTTTTGTATATCTCCATACATGCTGTAGGCAAAACAACTGCATGAGATGCTGTGCCTCATATAGAGTGTGCTAATTTAAGGGTTTCTCTGCAGATGAGAAGGTAGAAAGTTCCTAGAAAGAGGCTGTGGAAGGCAGTGAAAAGGAAAGTGAGGGAGCCTTCGTTACCACAGCAGAGGGTGAAGTTGCTCTAACCCACTGAGGAAAGTATTTCATTGTAGGTGTCTTGGAAGGCTAGGGATGTCGTGGTATGGAAAACCTCTTATATTGAACTTCATGGACTGCATAATACAATCCTCACCTCGACAATAATTATGTTAAAAATAGAACTAAAACATTTCTGCATGTTACCCAAAGTTAGCATACTTTTCGTGTCCTCGGGCATTTAGAAAAGCAGAAAGAAGGTAAAGTATAATGTAGAAGATGAGGAAACACGTTCAGTATGAACTGACCTTTTTTACTTCAAAGCAGTTCCTCTCAGTTTTTGCTAATAAGGTACAAATACAAAAAAAGCTAGCTGTCCTGAATATCATAAAGGCATTTTAAAAAAAATAAGGTACAAATACAAAATAGAAGACAAAAGCAAGGCCATTAGGGTATTTTTAAATTGAGTTACAATTCACAGACTATAAAATTTCACATGCCATACAATTCATCATTTTAAAGTGTATATACTTAAGTACTTTTTTAGTGTTTGTCCAAGATTGTGCAACCATCATCACTGTCCAATTCCAGAGCATTTCTGTTCCCCAGAATGAAGCTCTGGACCTGTGAACAGCCACTTTCAGTTCTCTCCTCTCCTGGTAACCACCCATC